GCCCCAGGCCACCAGTCGAGCGCACCGCACTGCCGCTGCCGCCATGTTTGCGGAAGCATCCGCGCCCCTTCACACGAGAACTCTTGTACCCGTTGGCCTCGCGAGATCCGCGGCATCCGCCCCGCCTCTTGTGCCTGCGCCGTGGGTGCACTACGTAAGACTTAGGGCGGTGGAAAGGCATACCTTCTGCTGCCGGCCGGCTGGGTGGAACTGGAGAAACACCGAACAGCCTGAAAGGCCCCCAATCCGAGGCTAGACGGAGTCATGTGGTGGAAGAAGTGCCCCCTGTCCGTGAGCAAGCATGTCACCTGTTGGCCATTGCGGGGTCGTTGGCTCCGCCCTGCACAGGAAGCGGCACAATTATCTAATGATAATTGAGAGCCGCCCTGCAGATTGCCTCTTACGGAACGCGTCCTGTGAACCTACGCCTGAAGGGGCTGGGGCGCGGAGCCCAATACGCTGCAGATTCCTGAGAACTACATTTGCTCTTCATGCCACAAGCCTACCCTGTATTAACAGCTGTCCTGTTATTCAGAAGTCTGCAGATACTTTCGCACATGCTGTTTCAAATACCATGAATTAGCTGACCCGCCTCTAGTAAGCAACCTTGGTATAAAGAATTGTTTCTACTTGGCTTATTTAAGCAGCTAAGTAACCTTGCTTAAATTTAATTTTTAAATTGTGGTAAAATATACATAACATAGATTTACCATTTTAACCAATTTTATGTCTACAGTTCAATGGCATTAAGTACATTCATACGGATGTCCAACCATCACACCATCCATATCCAGAACCTTTTACATCTTGCAAATCTGGCAAAGTTAAAAAAATTAAGTGTCCCTCCCGTCTGTTTTGTTCATCCCTCCTACGATCATATTCTTTAAAAAATATTTTTATTTTTTAATTAAAGTTTATAATATTTAATATTAGTTTGTATTAGTTGCATGTGTACAGCATAGACAGTCATCTACGTTACAAAGTGGTCCCCCTGATATTTCAAGTACTCTCCTGGCACTGTAAATAGTTATTACAATATTATTGACTATATTCCCTATGCTGTATTTTACATCCCCTGACTATTCTATAACTGCCAATTTGTATTTCTTAATCCTTTCACTATTTTTCACCCAGACCCCCAACCCCCCTCCCCTTTGGTGACCATCAATTTGTTCTCTGTATGTACCTATCCTCATATCCTTAACTGCTCTTTTTTTTTCTAAATCATATCCTATCCCAGATATATCACTTAGATGAAGTATCCTATATAATAAAAGCCTAATATGCTAAGTGTCTGGTCATCCATTCAACCAATCAAAGCGTAATATGCTAATGATATGCTAAGGCAGCTCAACCGCTCACTATGATGTGCACTGACCACCAGGAGGCAGACACTCTGACCAATAGCTTGCTGCTGGGGTCTGGCTGATCAGGACTGAGCGAGATGGGCCAGACACGCCCTGGAACCCTCCCAAGGCCCCTCCCCTACTGGCCAACCTCCCATGCCCCTCCCTGGCCCTGACTGTGCAATGGTGGTATCCCTCGCCCTGGCCTGCACCCTCTCGCAATCTGGGATCCCTCAGGGGATGTCACCCGGTTTTGGCCAGATCCTGCAGGCCAGGCCGAGGGACCCCACTGATGCATGAATTTGTGTACTGGGCTTCTAGCATTCTTATAAAGGTCCAGACAGAGTCACTCTCTTTATTTCAGGCAATCACTTATTTACTGAATGTTGAATTTATATTAAAAAAAAATCTTTATTGTTAGAGTATTATAGATGTATGCCCCTCCCCCCTTTTTTTACCCTGTTGCCCTCCTCGACCTGAATCCTCCTCCTTCCCAGGCCTTCACCACCCTATTGTCTGTATCCATGGGTAATGCCTATATGCATATAAGTTATTTCGTTAGTCTTTTCCCACCGCCTTCTTTCCCAATGATATTTGTCAGTCTCTTCCATGTTTCCATGCTTCTGGTTCTATTTTATTCATCAGTTTATTTTGTTCTTTAGATTCCTTGTTGGTTTATTTATTTATTTATTCATTTTAAAAATATGTGTTGTTGTTTTTTCCAGATGGAGGAAGAGAGAGGGAAATAGAGAAACATCAATGACGAGAGAGAATCATGGATCGGTTGACACCTGTGCACCCCTGATCGAGCCTGCAACCCAGACATGTGCCCCGACTGGAAATCGAACCATGACCTCCTGGGTCATATTTTGATGCTCAACCAGTAAGCCACCCCAGCCGGGCATTCATAGTTTTGATCTTTTTTTTTTTTTTCTTAAAGAAAACCTTTCAACATTTCATGTAATATTGGTTTGGTGGTGATGAATTTTGATGGTCTCATTTATTTTCTTGTCTGTAATGTTCTTTATCTGACCTTCAATTCTAAATGATAGCTTTGCTGGGTAGAGTAATCTTGGTTGTAGGTCTTTGCTTTTCATCACTTTGAATATTTCTTGCCACTCCCTTCTGGCCTACAAAGTTTTTGTTGAGAAATCACCTGATGGTCCTATGGGTACTTCCTTGTAGGTAACTAACTGCTTTTCTCTTGCATCTTTTAAGATTCTCTCTTTGTTTTTAACCCTTTGCATTTTAATTATCATGTGTCTTGGTGTGGGCCTCTTTGATTTCCTCTTGTTTGGGACTCTCTGACCTTCTTGGAATTGTATATTTCTTTCTTTCACCAGGTAGGGGAAGTTTTCTGTCATTATTTCTTCAAATAGGTTTCAGTTTCTTACTCCCTCTCATCTTCTTCTGGCACCCCCATGATGTGAATGTTTGTACGCTTGTCCCAGAGGCTCCTTATACTATCTTCATATTTTTGGATTCTTTTTTCTTTTTGCTCTTCTGATTGGGTGTTTTTTGCTTCCTCATATTCCAAATCACTGATTTGATTCTCAGAGTCTTCTACAGTTCATTCCTTGTAAACGACTGTTCAGTTCAGTTAGTGTATCCTTCATTTCTGACTGGTCCTTTTTCATGTCTTTGATGGTCTGACTTATTTCCTTGAAATTTTCATTAAGTTCCTTGAGCACCCATATACCAATTGTTTTGAACTCTGTATCCAGTAGTTTGCTTGCTTCCATCTCATTTAGTTCCTTTTCTGGCAATTTCTTCTGTTCTCTCATTTGAGACATGTTTCTTTGTCTCCGCATTTTTTTGGCTGCTTCCCTGTTTTTGTTTCTATGTATTAGATAGAGCTGCTATGTCTTTTGGAATTGGTAGAGTGGCCTTATGTAGTGTCCTGTAGGGCCCAGTGTCTCAGCTTTCCCAGTCACCTGAGCTCTGTGTGCACTATCCTGTTGTAGTTGAGCATTGATTGCTGTTAGCATCACTGGGAAGAATTGACTTCCAGGCCAATTGGCTGTGAGGACCAGCTGTGAGTACAGTGGAAGAGCTGCTGTGCAGGAGACACCCCTATGGAGCAGGATTTGCTTCAGTAGGGCTTTGATGCTCACTGAGTCTGATCCTTGAGTGTGTCACTAATGGATGTTGTAGGGTTGTATTCTGGCATGGTCTGAAGCTGTCTACTGGTGCATGGGCTTTGGGGCCTCCCAGGAGGTGCAAAATCAGCCACTGCTTGTGCCCTGCTTGCTTGTGTTGGGCTTAGAGGTGCCCAGGAGAGGCCAAGCTGTGAATCTTGGCAAGCTGATAAAAGTGCTGGGCCTGGGGCCACTTATCCAGAGGTATGGGCACACTGAGTTCAGCTGCTGCTTCTTTGAGAGATTATAGGAAAGCCTGAAGTCAGGACTTCAGACCATTCACAGTTTGGGTAGGGCTGCTAATTGAATGAGGCAGGATCTCAGGTAATCTCCAGGGCAGGGCAAACAGTACAATGGAGACTCAGCTATCGCATCTGCCAGTCAGCTTTGTGTGGGACAAAGCTGCCCCCTAGTTCTTTCCCTGAGGCCATACAGTTTAGTTCTTCCCCATACGTCTCTGGATCCTTTCAAGCTGCTTCTGTCCCAGCACTGGACCTCAGAGGGAGTGAGTCTGAGTAAGCCTAGGCTGACCCTTTAAGAGGAATTGTCTGTATCTCCAGCAGCCTCCCTATCACTCAGCCACAATTCCTG